AACATATTAACCTCATCCAAATTTAACCAAGACACAATACAGGGATTCACAAAATGCAACAAAAAATGGTTTGTGACATCATTATAGAAGGAAACTCCTACACTTTTGAAAACCCCAAAACAACATTCATAATAAATAAAAACTTAAACTGCAACTCCAAAAATGTGATTTATGTTCTTAAATGCACAAAATGCAAAAAGTCATATATAGGTATCAGTCAACAACTGAACAACAGGGTCTCCCTACCCAAAAGCCGCATAAAATTACCAGACAACAGAAAATTTTTTGTATCACAACACATCTTAAAATGTCACCAGGGTAAATTTAATATAATGCCAATATATCAAACAAACAATTATTCTTATCTACAAATACAAGAAAAAAACTTCATAAACAAATTTAAACCAGAACTAAATAGATCATAACCTCAGAAAAAGTGCACAACATGCACACATGATGACCAAATACAGTGATCAAACCACTCACATACATCTACACACACTCACATGCTGGTATCTGTGGAGCACATATATATATATATATATATATATATATATATATATATATATATATATATATATATAATATGCATTTAAGTACAAAACCAGTATCCACATTACAACCAAAAAATGTTTAAATATATCTATTCTTTTTAATATTTACATGTATTATATTGGAACTACTATAACCTATTCCTTTTATTTATATCAAACATGTTTGAAAGCCCACACAACTTAGGAAGTATTTTATATGTATGTATTTTAAGTATATTGAATGTGTATATATATACGCTTTATTCCATGTAACTTATATATATGTGTGTGTGTGTGTGTGTGTTGTATGTGATGATTTTGTGGATGATATCTGTGGGTGTGTGTACAAATGTATTTAATCGTGAAGTGAGGCAATATATATGTATGGAGAGGGAATATACACGTATATAAATGCTTGCTGACAGAAACACACAAAAATGGAAATAGATTATTAAATAGGTCATTAAAAGATAAGATACCGATAACTAATTCTTCATTTCTCTCGGACCAATCTGAATTGTTTTATGACTCCTCGCACAGAACTCTTCACTGCCAGTTCAAGAAAGAAATTAAGTAATGTATGTGTGTATATATGTATATTTTACGTATATATGTATGTGTGCTAGTATAACACATAGAAAGAGAATGTCTCTTATTGAGAATATTTAACATTGAAGAACATAAAGGAGAAAAAAATGAATTATTTTTAATAATATGTGGAAGTCTCCACCCATTACCTGATGACGGTCACGAAACCAGAAACCCATGTAGTAAAATTATGGAAAATAAAGCATATTTAAAAAAAAAAAAAAATCCACATTACAACCAAAAACGTTTGCAGTATCTCTATTCTTTTTAATATACACACTTTTCTCTCGTTGGAACTACTATAACCTCTTCCTTTTATTTATATATATATAATGAATGTATGAACAAAAAACGTGCGTATATATATATGTATGTGTATGTATATATGGAGGCACAGTGGCGTAATGGATAGCGGCTTGGATTGAGGAATACTCTTAGGAAAGGTGTGAATCCTATGAATTCAAAACCTGCGGAGAGTCATTTGGAGACCCTGTGGCACATAGTGGACCAGGTCTCTATTTGGCTCTTCAAAAAGTGTGGATGGTCCTGCACGAAACCTTCACCACTATAATCAAATCTCGTGTCCTTTTGTCAAGCTGTCAGTTTCCTAGGAACTGATCTACTTGATCCTCATGCGTCGAATATTTATATATATTTGACCCCTCCACTGAGTCAGGTTGTGACACAAGGTCAGTTTTTAACGTGGGGACCCAAGTGTTTTCACTCTGGGCACTAGTCATAGCCGTGATACTACCATCACAAGGACAGATCCTATATATATATATCAAGTAATGTATATTTATATATATATGTGTGTGTGTGTGTGTTTGTGTATATATATATGTGTGTGTGTGTGTCATATATATATATGTGTGTATTTATATATATATGTGTGTGTATAAATATAACATAAATTTTTATTTAGTCAATTATCTGTTTCATTAAAGATGCAATTTGTTTATCACGTATTTAATAGTTTTGTTTTTTTTGAAATTTATTTATATATATATTTGTGTTTGTGGTGCATTGTGGGTAGTCTAGTTTGGCAAATTATTTTATCAAGAAGTTGTTTTATTTATTTGGGTTAAATTATTTTCCTTGTTTATATTTTTTTTTTTTTATTTTATATTATTTTTTTATTAACATATTAAAAAATTGTTTATAACATTTTTTTGTTTGGGTTTATTTTTTTTTGCTTATTTTATTTGTTTTTTTTTATTTTTTTTTTTTTTAATGTAGTAAAAAATTGTTTTCATGTCTGCATTTTTTTAGATGAGCTCGGATCTTTTATTTAATAATTTATTTTGGTCTGGGGAAGTAATGATAGCTATTTTTTTCCTCCAAGCAAAGTTTTAAAAGTTTTTGATTGGTTGTTGTGGGCTGATGATCTTTTCCTTATTTTCCAAGATATTTTTTGGTGTGATGTGCATTTTGTTTTTTAATTTCCCAGATATACTTAGAAAGCATTGTACTGTTCGCATATTTACTATTTGTGAAAGAGGTTTCGTGTGCTTAATTTATTTGTTTCCAGGGTCCTTCAGTTACTCCTATGTATACTATTATCTTGTGATTTTATCGTGGCTTGGTATATGACGTTGTTTTGTAAACAATTACCGTTTAAGGGAGATTCGTTCTTTATTCTGCAGTTGCATGTGCGTTTAATTTGTTTGTGTGGTTTGTTGATGATTTTCCTGTTGTGCTTTTTTATTATTTGTGCCATGTTCTCAGTGCAACCGTAGCTGATTTTTACTGTGTTTTGTTGAATATTTTGTGTAGGGTGCTTGATTCCAGGTAGTGTTTGTGTAAGAGTTTGAAGAATATTTTTTCTACACTTGTTGTTACGTTTTTGCTGTATGGTGGGTTGAACCATATATTTCTTTTCCTGTTGGCCATTTTTGTGTTCTGTGGGGTGTATGTGAGTGTTGGTGGGAATCCGCTTATCTTTTAGGGCTGTTTCATAGTCTTTCTTAGCTTTGTTAAATATGGATTCATTAGAGGAATTGTCGGAAAGCCTGCGGTTAATAGATTTTGGTATCTGTTTGATTATAGACGGCGGGTGGTTGGAAGATGTGTGTATATAGAGTGGTTTATCATTGGGTTTTCTGTATGGATTATATGTGCCTTTTTTTAGGTTGAAGGTAACATCTACAAAATCTACTTCATTTAGGTTAGTTTTTATATCTGTCGAATCCATTATTTTTGAAAATCTTTATTATTGCTTTTCAAGTTTTGTCTGTGTTTTGTTTGTTACAGTTTCTTAAGATTATGAGACCGTCGTCCCTGTAGAGTCCTGTGTCATTTCTATCTATTATTTTGCTTAGTTCGTGTAGTAAGTAAATACCTATGATTTCGCATGTGTCTGCACTGTCAAAGCTTCCCATTGTAGTGTCAAATATCCCATCTTACTTTATCCATGCTTCTTCATTGTGAAATAGTAATGATTTACGGGAGTGCTTAATGATATCAATTTCGTTTGGTTTTATTATTTGTTCCTGAGCTAAGTTGATGGCCTTACCTAACATGCGTTCTGTTATGGATGGGTAAAATTCTTTTATGTCTAATTGTAGAAATTGGCAATTTTGTTTGTTTTTTTGTTTTTTTTCTATTAATTTTAGCTTGTATATGGAAGGGGATGGGATGGGATGCGTATGTTTTTTTAGGGAGTAGCCGAGGCTAAATTTTTCTATGTCCATACTGTGTTATATGTAGCGAAAGTGCTTTACTGTTTATCAGGAGCTGAATATGAAGAAATATAGTCTTAAGATGTACTATATTTATGGGATAAAGTGCTCAATATCAGAGATAAAGCATGTGTAAATATAAAAGTGAACATAGAAGTCAACACTTAGAGGTGACAGGCTGTTTCATGCTAGATGCAATCGTCATGCCACTAAAACATACACATAATGCACACACTCAATTAAGCTGAAAAATCGAATCATCCTCAATAATGGCTAAAGGTATAGCCAAATGTGTTCAGAAGTATAAAATATTTGGACAGTTTTTACACACTCTTTATCCAGAAAAGAAAGCTCTCATTCAACACAAAAAAAATTAATGAAAACTTAACCATAGTACCTTGTCTGTCGTTTTTAATGAAACATGCATAAACGAAGGATTGCTGCCTAAATATACAACTAATATATGTGTGTGTATATTATATATATATATATATATATACACACACACACACACGTACGTATTAATGGTCACTAATTATAGGAATAAATTTCTTAAATTTGTTTTGTTTATTGAACATCCCACTAAAACCTATTGACTTATATAGTTTTCACAAAATAAAACTAAATTATCCCATGTAGTTTCCCTTCAAAGTAAATGGAGCTCTTCTTTTGTGGCACAATGATTTGGTTATAATATGCTTTTGCCTTTTTTCTGTCCGTACACAATTGTGCAGGTAAATTTACTTCCAGTGCCCATCTCTCTGGTGATTGTTTAGTGCTCGCTCTGGTCCCGTTCTTTTCTTAATCTTTTTTTCCACAATTTGTAACCTCCTTGTAATGCAAAGTAAACTTATCAACTCCAATGCAAACAAGATTTTCATAATCCTTGACAGATTTTTGATGGCTTTTCCCTTCCCTTTCCTTTTGATATGTACAGCAATGCTGGATAGCACTTCTTAGTAAATTGTTATAAATATATCCTAAAAAATTTTCTAACATTAGTCAACACCAATTTTATTGTGGAAATATTGACATGTATACTTACATAAAATATAACATGGTGTACAATATTATTGTTCTTTGGTTCTGAACTGAGCTGCAGTTCATGTATATCTATTTATTTACTAGTAGTACTTTGTTTTTGAATGACTTTTTTTTTTTTTTTTTTTTTTTTTTTTGCATTTGGTTTAACTTTTAGATCCCAACAATCATCAGTGAAAATGGTGGTTATGATAGTTCTGATCTTGTTGCTCAATTGCGTGCTGCTCATACTGAGGGTAAAAACACTTATGGTCTTGGTGAGTTAACTAAAATTACTCCACCTTATCTGCTTTTGATTAGTTTTTATATTTTGAAATTTCATTAAAATCTTAAATATAGACATCTCATTTATTTTAATTTGTGGTTAACTTTATGTAAATATTTTTTTCAATTTAATAGATATAAACAACTTTTCAATGGGAATTTAACACCTGAAGTGTAAAAAAGTTAATTTCATAGATACATTCTGTCATTTTTGTGTAATCTCTGCATTAGTTATTTGAGAGAAAATAAAAATGAGATGAAGAATTGCATTAGACGAATTATAGGTGAAAAGAGCTCACTTTTTTCTCTTTTTTTTTTTTTTTTCCCCTCATCCACAAGTGTTTATTTTAAAGATTGTATTTTAAAATAGTAATTCCTTTACTTTAATAATTATTAAAAACATTTTCTTTTTGTTACCTGTCATTACAAAAAAATAGCTTAACAATTATTATAAATTATTTTATCTTTAATATTTATTTTAGAATTCTAATTTGTTTTTCCTTTCAGATATGACCAATGGTACAATTAATGACATGAGGTGTCTTGGAATAACAGAGTCTCTTCAAGTAAAACGCCAAGTCCTGTTGAGTGGATCAGAGGCTGCAGAAATGATTTTAAGAGTGGATGATATTGTTAGAGCTGCTCCTAGGAAGCGACAACCAGATATGCGGTCACACTAATCCCAACTAAGTAGAATATTCTGTTCGTAAAAAAAAAATAACTGACATTCGGCATGGTTTTTGTTTGCTGGAATTTTTTTTTGTCTTAATAAATAAAATTGCTTTTTTTTTTTTTTTCTCTCTTTCTTCATGTTGTAAACCTACCATAATTATGATTGTCTATCATTTTCAGAAACAATATTGCAAATAAAATCTCAAAATTAATATCGTATTATGTTTTATTAGTTATGCGATTGTAAAGATTAACATTTTATGTACATTGCAGAAGTTTATTTACTTAAAGCTGTTTGGTATGTCATGTCAAATGGACTGCCTGTGTGATTGCCTCCAACATGCAATGCCCACAACAGTAACCGCTTTGATCTCAGCCTTGTTCTATCCTACATGTTTTTTCTCAGTCCAAACAGGGTAATGATGTAACAATAAAAATGACGCCTGACTTGAAATAACTTCTGATTTTATATCAATTCTGATACAATAACTGATTTGCAATAGCTGATTTTGAAGCACTTGCATGCATTCAATTTCTCATCCATTTCTAGATGGAAGTGACACTTTGGTGATTTTTGGCAATGTTAGGGTGACTGGCGTGGTTTAATGTGGCACAAGGCTTTTGTCAAGGCTTCAGCAGGCAATCACATGGGTACTCTCAGTGAGCTGGTCGCTTGGCTAAACTTGGAACTGTCCTCAGTTCTGACTCCAACTCTGAACTCAACTTCACTTCTGGTCTCTCTATCTGTTGACTCTCAGTCAATATTGGTATGGGGTAAAATGTTGTCTGAAGTTTCAGTGATTTCTCCCAATCCAACAAAAGCCTGCCACTTGACTCTGCAAAATTATTGTTTCCACAGTTCTCATTCTTGAGTATTTAATCTTCCTTTGCAAACAAAACCTGTACATGGCTATCAGTATATTTGTGGATATCCCTTTTAACCCTTCCTTTTCAGTTACCAAGGTTAAATAATGTCACACCTGAACTTTACTGGGAAATCAAACCCAGAAAGTTCTGAAATGTAAGTTATAATAATCTTATTTTGCTTCTGAGATCTAATATTAATCACTTATTTGATTAAAAAAAAAAACAGGTTTTTAATGAGTTGATTTCTTTTCTACTTTACAATGAACAAAAAGTCTCCAAGATTTTGTCAGATCTCCAAATATTTGTAAGCATATGAAGAAATGAGCAGATTGGGTGTTGTACAATGCAGGCAAATTTTCAAAATTCATGCTTGAATTTCTTTCCCATCATAGAAATAGCTTTTTGCCTTGTACTACACAACTCAATATTTGTTTAATGTAGAAACTTTGATTGAAAATAGTCTTCTGTTAGTGCTTGCTTACTACAACAGGTTAAAAAGGCTTATTGGATTATTCTGAAAGCCATTTTTCATTAATCATTTTTTTGACATTAATTGTAGAAATAAATTTCTTATTTCATTGATTTTTTTTTTTTTTTTTTTTTTTTTTTTGTGAATGGTATAAGATTTAAAAAAAAAAAAAAAAAAATTCTCTCCAGTGTCGAAACAAAGACAAATTCTTTTGTATTTTATAAGTAGAACGTAACTGCAGGATATTTTATTCAATTTAGTTGACTGGGCTCTACAAATGGGATACTAGTGCAACTAATCCTGTACTATGAGTGGCTCTTGAGCCTTGTACTGGTGAATTTTATTTTTTTAAAAATTGCACTTTTTTTATGTAGATTCAGGTATTTTGAGTTAATGTTCCTGATAAATATGTTTAAGTTACAAAACAATCTAAGTTTGTGAAGAAACATTTTGTTATGAGTCACCTTTTGACAGCACATACTGTTTATCTGAATGAAATTATATGCAATGTGGCAAGTTACTTTCATTAAGATGTGAACATCAGGACTGTTGCTATGGTAACAGAGCTAAATTACAGTGAAGCTGCTTGATTGACCTTGAACATTGTCACACATGCATGATATAATGTTCTCACTCACTTCTGTTGTTTATAGCAGTGCTTGAAAGGAAAGTGTAGTGCGTGCTTGTCTTACCACATCGCAGGTTTCATCAGTGACCATGGTAGAGAAGATTAAAGCAGAGAATCTTGATCTAATTTTGCCAAAAACTTCTGCATAGATATTTACTCAGTTTCAGAAAGTATATGGAGAGGAGTGTATGAGCCAGACGAGTGGTTCAAACATTTCCAAGATGTCTGACAGTGGTGCACGTCCTAGGAAACCCACATTCAGCAGAACTGAACATCGCAGATATGCATGCAGCTGTTTGGAATGGCCATCAAATCATATGTTGTCAGATGTGAACATTAGTTATGGTTCAGTTCAGTCCATTCTCACTGAGGATGACATGTTTGTGCCAAAACTGCTTTCTGTTGACCAAAATTGATTTCAGCTGCGCAGAATCTCCTATCAAGGAAGACCAAAAACATTTTGAAAATGTCATAACAGATAATGGATCTATTGCTATGACTTCCGAAACCTACACTCAGTCATTGCACTATAAGACCCCAAACTCTTTGAGAACAAAGAAAGCATGAATGAATTGAAGCAATGTGAAGACACTGACAGTTTTCTTCAACTGCAAGGGTATTGTTCATCATGAGTATGCTGCACCTGATCAAACGGTAAACAAGGAGTACTATTGTTGCCTGTTATGCTCTTTTCTGGAAAAGGACAGAATTGAATGTGTCTGATGAGTCACCATGACAATGCACCTGCACAGCTTATGCAGTAGCTTTAGGCCAAGCATCTTTCTCATGACAAACACCATCTTTAGATCTCACTACTTGCAACTTTTTCCTCTTTCCAAAAATCAAATACCACTTGAAGGAAATCCAAGAGAATGGGATGAAGCAGCTGTTTGCTATCCCAAAATATGTGTGCCAGGAACAATAGAAATGACATTGGTTAAAGTGTATGGCTTCAGAAGGAATACTTTGAAGTAGATTAAATACCGAATTGATGTAGTTTTGTTTGTGTTTTGGCACTTGACCGTACCACCAATTCCACCACAGGAGGACTTCTTATGACTAATGACAAAAAAAAATTGAACAAATAGTATAAAGGCAAAATTAGCCATTGCTAATCTTGTTTGGCTCCTGTAGCCTGAAATATTCTCTGTAACTCATGAACAAAGTGGGTATCATGATTCTGATCATCAGATGTGAAACAATGATTGCCATTGCAGTTCTCTTCTTACTCCCCCCCCCCGTGAAATACACCACAACAGCATGTACTGTACTTTGATCTCTTATCCAATGATAGCCTTGTATTTCATCTTCAATGACGTAATTGTAATTCTCTGCATATCATCCATTGACTGACTTCTAGCAACAAAGGCATGGCATTTTATGAACAAGGGTTCAATGAATTCCTTTATACTTGCAAGTGTATATTTTCAATGATGTATAATCAGTGTTGTCCATATATGAGGATGGATCAAGTTATGACATTGTTCAAAATAGTTTCAGATATAATGACTAGAGCTGTCTTATTGATTGTACACAATTTAATCTTTAAATTTCACCTTCAGATATGACTAATGCTTTGACTCTTGGGCATTGCTCGCATCTCTGCACCATGCAACTCCAGGTTTTCCACATCACACGCAGCAATTGTCATGAAATCTTTAAAGCCTATATTGAACTGTTCAGCTCCTTCATCCTTCTTCAGTGAGGTTGTTTTTGCTGTCAACCATCAATTGAGCATAAGTTTTTTAAAATATTAACAAATGCATCAATATGTTTATCTTAAACTCCACATTTAAGGAAGAAAGTCATTAGAGAAGTGAATTATGCATTTAGTCGTTCAAATAACATGCCTCTACGACTCAAATCTCGCATTACCATAAGATTTAGAATTTTTCATTAAATTTAGAGAGCAGTCAAAAGATGAGCCACCCAGAGCTGGAGGGAATTTGAAATTCGCATATTTTTCATAACCCAAGTAAATTTGTATGAGTTCTTTTATGACCACTGTTAATAAATTTAAGTATTACCTTACTTTGCATGAAACATTTCATGATTCTTCAGAAGTTTGTGTAAAGATTTTATGATCCTCCAACATCCTAATACTAGCTGACGTACTCGGTAATTCCCGGGAAAGCAGATGTTATCCCAGTTCCCGTTGTCATATCCTTTCTTCGGTTTATCCGAAAATAAAAATCCCAAGTAAGTATCACTGAAAAGGCCTATTGTGCGTTCACAAAGAATACCCAACCTCCGCCCCTAGGATTTTTATAGAAAATACCATTCAGTTATGAATAGCAAAATCGTAAAGCGACGTAGGTAATAACAGGCAAAATGGTTATCCAAAAGTAACAATTAAAAGTAGGTAAACCTGAAAAAGGCTTTTGTGCGTCACAGGGAATGTAGCCCTTAGTTAATGTTAAAATAAATTTACAATTTGCCAGATCCACCTGGGTCATTGAGGAAGAATAGATCTCTTTCACCTTCAATGCTCGAAATAATCGTGTTACTCAGTTGGTCCTCCATTAATTTTGGTTCGTTATCAATTATATACGCCGTCATTTCCTTGGTGTCATAGCTGTACTCAATTGCGAGATTGTTTGCTGCCTGCTCAGGTCCAGGTCGGCCAAATGTGACAATTCCTTGGCCTCCCATAGCTTGCACTTAGTGCCCAGGTCAACTAATGCCTCATTGTAAATAGCATCATTGAATGTGACAATTTCCGCTGAGGCTTACCTTTGAATCCTTCGTAGGATGTTCTCTACCATGCTGGTTTTGTCGATCGCCCAAAGCTGTGACTCACCCGAGTCACATGTCACCAATATGAGGAAAAATAGCTGGCGCACTTGATTAGCTGTGTGACGTCACCCCGGTCTCTGCTCTTGTGCTATCATGTGACGATCTAACCCTTGGCTGGTTCGGATGGAAATTTGGTTAGATTCGGCATCAGGTTTGTCGTTCCCAGCTCGCCTCCAACGTCTGGTTACCGAAGCAACTGTTTTGATTTCTAGTCTAACCTACACACGTTGTGATTTGATCTTAGGTGG